ATGCTGGTCCTAGGTTCTATAAACGACATATGTTACTATATTATGATTATATGGTATAACAAAATACCTTTTATTGTAAAATATTGTGCAATGATTATTCAATAAATAAACTATACGAATGTTAAAAGAAATCACAAAACGTTCGTTGGACATTTACCTAGCCCGTTCTATTACGATTATTTTGTTTCAACATTACGTATTGACGAAACGAATTGGTTTTATGTCGGTTTTTAAACTTTTTCATGACACCTCCGATTATCACGCTTTGCGCCCTGGCCTCGCAGTTATTAAATCTGGTATGGACGTTCGAAGTTACACGTCTTATCGGTTATCGGACGCTACACTGGTGCAGGATTCGCGAATCGGTCATCCACCATTTTGTCCGGTGACCGCTGCATCAGCGCTACGATCAACATCTATGCGCCGTGAACAATTTGCATATAAATCAAACGAACGAATATCGGCTAATCCGACACTCGCCAACCGGTCGGAAACGCCGTTTTAATTGATATCGATCCGTACGCGTACAACAAATGCGAACCATTAAACAACGATGGCCGTATAATTCTCATCGATGATAGTTCAATGCGCATGGAGGGAGGGAAGAGGAACTTGTCCATCCTGACTTTTCCGTGTCTATAATACGTGTATACATAACATTTTACAATTGTTGATTTATATTAAATATACTATTTTTATTGTTAGTTATTTATTAATTATTTTTATATTATTATTAGCTAATCGTATCTCTTACGGACAAAACATTACCACAGGAAAACGAACTCAGAGAATTATAGATACTCATTACAAACCTATCGATAACGATTGCCGTTAAGCACCGATCACACATGTCCCCCCCTGGATTTTCAATGATGGACGCCTCTGTCAATGTGTCGACCTTTCTCGGCGATACCGCGTCACGTACGATGTAACCCTTTTTGGCCTCTCGTATCTCTGTGATATTTACGTGCGACAATATCGTTGCCATCGGGGCCGTGGGAAATTATTAATTACGCCAAACTTTTCGACGGCTCATCGTTTTTTTTTTTTTTTTGTCTTCGTTGTCGTATGTTTCGTGTTTTTTTTTTCTGTAAAGAGCGAAACGACGGTCCGATTAGACTCGTCGGATTTTCACCGAAACATGTTGAACCGCGATCAGACGATGATGTTAGAATTGAAACGACCGAAACTGTATTCGTTTTTCATAGCTCTAAAATCCCCGTCTTTGGCCGAGGCACGGATCTTTTATTGTTATCCTCCGAGACGATAATTCCAATAGTGCGTACTTCGACGGAGGAATTACCAATAAACCAAAACGGAACGGATTCGTAAAATCCATTCACGCGCGCACGCACAATTCAACTGTCGACCGTGAACGCTACCACATTGTCGTTTGCATTAATCAATCGGAGACTACGCATGCAATTGTTAAATCCTTCCATTTCGGTTCGGCATTCACGTACCGCGGTCAACGATTACCATACGTCCGCGTTTCCATTCGTTGCGCCGATCGCGAAAATGGCGTTGGCATTCGAAACATCTGAACGTGTACCGTTTCTATACGGTTTTGACTCGCAACAATAGAAGTCGAGTTGTTATTATAAACAAAAGTCGCCTGATACGTTGCGCACGCGGAACGCGATGATTTATGGGGCGAGAGAAGTGCGGACGAAAGAAATGATTTAAGTTAAAAGCTTTTCGCTGTTTAGAAAACGGCCACAGCAACTTTCGTCTGTGCTGTGCAACGTCAACTTAATTATGGGGTTGGTTCGCATAAGTAAGCGGGTAGGAGGGCGGGGCCAGAGAACAATGCGCGAAAAATAAAACCGTCCATTTCTGCAAATAGCTTCGGCTCTGAGTGGACTTATTAAATTATTCATGGGAACATATTGTAAACTTTTTGGTGAGAAAAATAAATCCCGGGCTTAAACTGCGAAGGATTAGTCAACGGGAAGAGTAAAAATAAATAAGTAAATGAACGGATAAAAAATAATGAGTAGTTCTGATTGCTTTGTAAAAAGAAAAAAATAACGTAAAATATTATTTTCGACCGTTATTGTGATCAAATATTTCATGTGAGTAATTCATTTATTTTTCATATTACACCGTTGCACATCCACGCACCATGCAATTAAATCGCGTCCGTGTCGCCAACAATATTTCTACACCAGGTTTAATTACAGTACCTACGACGTTCCGATTAAACGAACGACCCTGGGATATAGGTATCCGTAAGGTATTCCGTTCGTGAACAACCAAAGTAACATAATCAACTCGCATATCAACGTTCTAATCAAGCGATTCCGGTCGTGTATGTAATCTTTAATCATTGCTGCGCGCACCGGAAACGCGCAGTCCTAATGATCGGTATTCGAATCCACGTGCAAAACGCAACATCCGCCGTTATTGGACGGATAAAAATACTTCGTCGATTATATCTCGTTTTTGATGTTGTAGACGTAACGAAAAAAACACCTCATCCATCAAACTGATTCGTTAAGTGACCCGATAGATGATAGTCGATACACACGGAACTTTTTCAAAAGGTTAAATGTTTCTTTCGAACAAGATTCTGCCGCTCCGCGGTAGAATGTATCAGTTACGATTTATCGTTAAAACTCTTACGAACCGACTAGAGTTTACAATATTATTTTGTAATTAATGATTCGCAATATAAGGTATAGGTTTCTACCATTTTTTTTTAATAAGTTTTAAGATTAATAAGTTGTAATATACAGTAGTCACTCGATAATTCAAAATTCAAGGGAATAAGCTAAAAATTCGATTTATAAAGGTTTTCGATTATCCGAGTGTTCGAATAATCCAGGAAAAAAATTAATTCGAATTAAAGAGAGGTGAAAAATGATATGCATATATTACATTTATTAATTGAAATTTATTTATTATACATATTATGTATTATATTTTACATTTTAAAGAAATCTGTTCTTTTTTTTGTGTTAAATTATTGGCCACAATCTGGTCCATAGCGTTATCTAACTTACTGATAGCATTGAAAATTGTATTACATCCTTTTCCTACATTTCAGAATGCTCGAAAAATGTTCGCAATCCTGAAATAAAAATGGTAAAATTATACGATTAAAGTCTAGATTAGGTAGATAAGGTACGATAAAATTTATAAACTACAATAATATTTAATTGCCGTCCTTATTCATTTCATTGCGAGTACGTCAAATATATGTACATATGAATATACTTGATACATATGAACATACGTATAAACGTGTTAAAGCAAATTCGAATTATAGAGGTTCTAGAAAAAAAATTCGAACTGTAGAGTGAGTCCCACCAACAGACATTTCGAATTATCGAGGGGACTGGAATAATTTAATTTCTTCTAATTATAGAGGTTTTCTAAGGGGACTAAGCGTTTAGTTTTGTTTATGGAGTTTTTCGAATTATTGAGTGACTACTGTACATATATATATATATATTTATGTATTTGTAATGCAAACGCTTCAATCATGAACGAAAATACAATAATAACCATATTAGTATTATTTTTTTATTTAAACTCCTAATTTAATGAAAATATGATGTGTGATCATAAAAATGATTATTTATACTTGGTAAACAATGTTTAATATGATAAGTATCCAAAAAGTTTTTCCGGATAAGACAAAAAATATTTCATATTGGATAATACATTTTTATATATTAAAAAAAGTTTTCATACCAGACGGGATAAAAAAACATATTGCACACACGTATGTATAATATGAGCGAGAATACAAGAAACATAACACATTGATAGAAAGTTTTTTATATAAATTACACAATTGTTAAGAAAATATGTTCAATTTAGTTGTAAATTATAGGAACTTTTATGTTTATAAGAAATACAACCAATTTTCGTTGATAAAAAATGAAATATTTACCATAAACCATAAACTAGCCACAAGAGTCATAATAGTGCGTTCTAAATATAAAAATAAAACCACACAGCAGTTGAAAAAAAAAAGTAAAAATGGTCTTTAAAAATTACTGACTACAGATAGTGAAACATAAATTCTATAGTTCTGATAATTATCTGATCATTTAACTAACTGTAATAATTTAGTTATCTTATCAAATTATAATTTTTCAATAGTAAATCCTAAGTGCAAATGTCATCGGAGTTTTTTTTTACTTTATCATAAAATAAAGTTAAGACATATTAAATTAATTTACTATACTGAAAAATAAATAATTAATAATTTTGATATTATTATATATATATATCAATATACATAGATTTCAATTTAATTGTATGAATCACATTACATTTTATTGGAGTTTTTGCCTACTCCTTATATACTTCAATGCATAAAAAAATGTCAGCAATAAAAATATCCTCATCACTAATTGTCACTATACATATTATAACACAGACAAGAGTCAATGCTTACGTCAAATGCACCTGATAAAAATTGAAATTTAAAAAAAGTCATTGTTTTCAGATCAACAGATTCGAGGGGTTGACATTTCTCGAAAGTTCTTAATCTCTCGCTATAGTGATAATAACAGCTATGTTTCGTCGAAATTGTATTCATAAATATTATTATATTAAATAATAGTATGTAAGAACAGATATCATTATATTGACTAACCTTTACCTAATTATATCTTTTGTAAATCTAGGTTTGATAGTAAATGAATATTTATTTGTGATGTTGATGAAAAAAAAATAATAGATTGAGTGTAATACGGACAGAAAAAAGTTGAAATAACCCCAAAAGTTAGCAATATTTATATTTTAATTTGATAAAATTAGAAAAATATATCAAAAACTTCCAAATAGAATTACAACATCATTTTTCTTACAGATTTTCCAAAAATTCTAGAATAAAATATTTATTGAGGCAAAGATAATTTTGTTGGTAAAGATAATTTGTAAATAAATATATATTTTTTTTTTTTTTGTTATTAAATATAATGTATTTTAACGACTTCTACTATTTTAGATTTTTAATAATTTTTATTTTATCTTATTTTCAGGTGAACGGTAGTAAGACGATTAAACATATTTATCACCAATGGTAATTTTATTTTAAATTATTTACTAAAATGTTATATAAACGTTCTTCTTTTTAACTTTTGCGCTCGAGAAACATCTTTTTATTAATGCTTGCATTATACTCAAAAGTATTAAAAAATTAACGAATATTAAAACTTAATAACAGGTCACAATCACTCAATACGTAAAAAAAATTATATGTATATTTAAACATTTAAGAAGTATCGAGAATTCATGTATGAATATATGATTATGAGTAAAGCTACACGATTTTGATTCCCATAACTTAAAAAATAATAATCGTTTACACTTGATATTTTTACCGAATTTATTTTTACTGTTTTCTAAGTGTAGTGTCATTATCACAATATATTGTTTTTTTTTTCTTTTTGCTTTATAAAAATATTTGAAATTGTCGCAACTTTTATCTTTTTTACAAAACATCATAAAATAATTTGAATTCAACAAAAAAATGTTTAAAGTTTAATACCAAGTTTTCTGTATAGTTATCTGATTGTGTAGATAATCATTAAATATTTGTGGTGATTTTTTTTTCTTTTCGTATAAATAAAAAATATTATTATATAACAATTACAATCTGCAACATTTTTGCATTTTATAAAATTAAATTTAAAATACTCTAATTTGACTCAAATACCTAAAGTTTGAAAACTGAATATGAGATTCTTCACAGGTTGATATTTATAATTAAAAATATATTACACCGGAAAGTTATAAAAAAAAAAAACGAAATTCTTAAGTCGGATGAGATACAATCCAGTTTCAGCTCTGATAAATGGTCTCTTGAAATAACGTAACGCACGGTTCTCTAACTGTAGATACGCCTCTGTTTCAAATAAATTCAATTATTTAAACAATAAACAACTAATTGCACTCTCTGAAACTCATGAAAAGCGCTGATTAGTAATTGATGCATAGACAAACATATAGTATGATAGTATAGTATCACTATAGTAATACCCAAGGCTGGGCAAGTTAACGATTTTTTTTAACTCGTTAAGTTTAGTTAAATTAAAAATTACTTATATTTTTTCGTTTACTCGTTAAGTTAAAAGTTAACTTTTTTTAAAAAAAGTAACTTAACTTAGTTTAGAATTAAAATGTTCTAATGTGCAAAAATAAAAAATTGCACACAATATTAGTTTTTTACGCTCAAGAAAATTACTGGGGAAATTCAAAATGATACATAAAAGTACTTACTAGCTATCAAAAAATCTACTTTTCTAAAATAAATCTTAGTCATGAACTTATACTAAAATCAATCTACAATTTTAATAATAAAATGAAATTGGAAATTATACCACAGTTGTTTTATGATTAATCCTCCATTGACACTCACTCTCATGGTATTTACTATTTTCACTGAATATTCTTAGGATTTCCATAGGTTTATAGCGTTTATACAATAATGTTATAAAAATATAATGATAAAATATAGCCCATATAATGACTATTAAAGTTATTTTTCACATTATTTTCGTCTAGAGGAAATTCATATTAAAATAGTAAATTATAAATATACTAAAAACCTCATTTAATAATTTGCATTATTCTTTGCATTAAAATTAACTTAAAGTTAACACGTTAATCTTAAAAAAAGTAACTTATTAAGTTAAAAGTAAGTTTATAAAAAAAATTAACCAGTTAGTTAACTTAATTAAAATGAACTTAACGTTTTAATTTAATTTTAACTTTTAACTCGTTAATGTCCAGCCTTGGTAATACCTATAAAATTGTTTTTGATACATGTTTCAAATATATTCAAAAAGCATAAATCCAAAGTATTCTAAATTTAAGACCATAATTTCCCTTCTATTCCCACCGGTGTTAATAATTATCAGAATTACTATTTTTTCGACATAAAGCATGAATTATATTCTTAGATATATTTATATTCATATGCGGGCACTCGATCTTACTTATTATTATTTTTTTGATAGAAAAATTATAATTTGTTGAACACTCAATCCTTTCCGTTTAATACTAATATGCGTTCTATCACCGATATGTTTGCACAATCGTTTAAGTTTTAATTAAAATAATAAGTGTAAATGTTTTGCTATCGATCAATATTTTTGTAAACGACGCAGAACACTTGAAAGTATATTTAAGAACAAATAAAATATTTCTTCTCGTGTAATACTACATGTTTCATAAATTATATTGACACTTCATATTTCTCGTGAATAAAAATATCCATACGGATAAACGAAACCGTTTGTTAGTGTATCGTCTACGATAATCACAAACACAATGATTTTTCTCGGCAAATCAAATCGTAATCAACGAATGCATATTTTTCGTTGAATCGTTCGAACGAAAAAATAAAACCGTAATTAATTTTAGCAGTTGACGCGGCACACTTGGTGACGGTGCACGTGTCGCAGGTAACAGCGAACACCGTTATAAAAAAAAATATTATAATAATAATGACAGTGAATAGATATGTATAGAATATATACAATATATATATATTGAAAGTTAACAATGAATAAGTCGTTAATATGACTAACAAGTGTTTGGTTCACAAAGCAAAAGAGAAAACAAAAAAAAAAAAAATAAGAAAAACACGTGACGAGGTGTGTAACCGTACATGGTGTGGGAAAAACAGCACGGTTCAGATGGTGGTACCTAGCGGACTGGTGGTTGATGAGAAAGATAAGGGCACGGTCGGCGACGGCCGTTTTGGTTACGGCTGCCGAACGGGTTCGCATCACAGTTCATTAAACACAACGTCTTGTGAAAGTTGTATATAAATAAACATAAGTCCAAGGATAAATGACTTCGACTCAACTGTTTTTTTTTTTTTTTAGATATTATATACCATATAAGGTGTACGATACGAATAAGTATTATTACTGCTGCTACTTGCTGTACCAGTGATTCTCCAAATCACTACGGGGCGGCACGAACAGCAGTCATCGAGAAGTGAAACATTATTATTATTTATTTATTTTTTTCAAATTATTTAATTATTCGTCTTAGCGGAGGATAAAAACGAAGAACTAATAACAACTTACCGCCTAACACTCGTTAGTAAATCGGCACGGGATTTTCGATATCTTCATTTTTACTAATTCAAAGCAATAAACGGTCGTAATTTTTTTTTTTTTTGTGATTCAAGTGAAGGTGAAGCACGATATTTTGAAAATCTACGTGGGTGTTATCAAAGTGGTTGTGAAACACTGCACTACAAGGACTGTGCTACGGACAGAGCACGTGTAATACTTAGCGAGCACGTATTATTATTATTAATGTTGTCATGACAATGTACTACGATGATGTATGACTATGTCGCTGCGATCCTCGGTTTCGGGTACCTGTCAACGAGAATTCGTCGGGTGCAATAAATTCGGACGTCGAATAAGTTTCCGGTTTTCGCGACGCGTTTTTCTTCGTGGACCTCGTCGGCGGGGGACCTCGCGTTCCAAGGGAAATTATTACGTCATCACGGCTGATTCCGCGCGTGAAAACTTCCCACAGAAAACAGGACACTGCCGACGGACGAACCACCGTAACAGACACGGGGAGATAGCGTACCAAGCTGGAGCATTACCGCGACTGGCGGTTTGGCGAGGGAGTATGACGCGGACCCGTGCTACAGCCGTTACCAAAAACCTTACCCTTATCTCTCTCATCGACCACCGGTCCGCGGCACACAACGTTGGTCCCCTGTCCGGTAATGGATGGGGGGCATGGGGTATCGCGATGATGGTATGATAGCCAATGGCGCGATAACGGCACTTTAAGCAGGTCGTATCGGTTGGCCATCGACTGCGCTCGGGAGAAATAACGGGTACGCGAGGCTCGTAAATCTGGCGCACGGACATCAAATGAATAGTTTTCCGACGACCGGGTAAGCGCGCGCGGAAGTTGAACGCTAAAAGTTTTTCTCGCATCATCCACCACCCTATCATCTCCTCACTCTCGTCGGTCCCTCGCTGGTACTACGGCGAGTACGAAGAAAATTGGTAAGGTCAAGCAAACTAACTAACCCTCCGGGAAACGTGTACGGGGGAATATTTTATTATTATTATACTTTTTTTTTTTTCACTAAGTTTTAAATTATTTAATTATACTTTTATCAACCAACGTGTATAAATATAATTTAAGTGAAATATGTATATACGAGTATAGGACACATGGCACTGATGACACATCGTCGGTACAGATTTTGTGCTCAGCTCCGAAAATCTTCTCAGAAAATATAAACGAACTTCAAACACTTTGTGAACACTTATTATTCTAATAGAATACACAAAATTATATTACACCAGCTGAACTATTCGACCTCACTAAAAAGATGTTTAACTATTTACAAACAATTACTGTTTCTATGAAAATAAAAATAAATAGATTGAAAATATCGCACAATATATCGTTTATTGTCGTACATTTAAAAATTATTGAAGTTGTTTTTATCTATTTATGCGGTTTATATTAATTCACTTACACTACAGTCGGTAATCTTTGTAATAAACATATAAAACAAAACAAAATGTATCCTTAGTAACCAAAAAATTAAATAATTTATTCATCTATTCAGTCTAAAATGGTTTCAACCTTTAAAAATTGACATTTCTTCTTGTTGCATTTCTAGATTATTGATTATTCGAATGATCATTAGGTATGTAAAATTTCAAGCCCTCACTTCCATGTGTAAATATGCCATTGATTAGAGGTTCTTTAGAATTAAGAATGAATTAAATAATAAAGAATTAAGGCGCAAGACATGTTTATAGCCCGAAGCCCTATCAAATTTCGGTACCCCGTGTCAATAAATCCTTAATATAATTCAGTGTATCGTTGGTTGGATTTTGTTTTTCTAGACTTTCGACCACAATATTTTTCCTTTTTTTCCTTTGTTCTATTCTAGTGATTTTGAGTTATACATTTAGTAACACACTCAAATCAACATATTTTCATCGTAAAATATCTTCCGATTTATTTTTTAATATTAAGCAAGATTAATACTTCATAAAAAATATCGATATGATTTAT